CCACCGGCGTTAGCCCTGCAAGTGGAACTAAGAAGTACTTCGCCGAGACCTTTTGTACACCCTACCAAAAACTCATCGAGAAGATCGCTTGGCGTGATGCCCTGCAATACGCGCAATCGTTGGCCAGTTGGCAGCCCAATGGTAGCTTCCAGCCCGCCATGGACTTATACATGGGCAACGACAGCAGAGGTCAATTAGGTGCAACCCTTCGAGGTATGGCTAGTGACCCTCGACAGGATATCGGTATCCCAATCGCATGCTGACTGTGAACATTCTAGCCAATATTGATGGCGCAGTGAGAGTACACGACCAATCGACCTGGCCACGGAACCAGAGACTCTTTGTCTTCTGCAGCGAGCCTATGATATTCGTAGAAAATGGAGGATTGTGCGGCGAGCTAGGCGCTGTCGCTTACGCGTGAGAGAAAGCTCTCTCCCCATTCTGGAAGCAATTACTGATCTTATATGCAGATTCAATATCAATGGCACCTACTATGTATATACCGATGCGCGTCATAGCGAACGAACTCAAGACGCTAACGTCAGGTCACAGGATAATCACTATGTCGTCTTCTGCCCGCCCTACTATGAGTTGCAAACACTTTATAAGACCCTCTCCATCACCGATGCTTTTCCACCAGAACGTCTCCTTGTGACATCAGCAAACGATTTCGATGAAAACCAAGGCGAAGTATATTTTCATGAATCATTGGTGTGTGGTGGAGCGTGAAATCATCTTGCCACATGCTAAAAGCTCTGTCTTAGCATTTTGCGGACTTGACTACCCCGGTGAACCACCCAAGTAAGTCTTTGCACAAACGCAGAAGCATGGATGGCGAGCTCACACATTCGTAGTTCATGATAACAACGGTAACGAATCAGACATATACGGTCCATATGATGTTGCCATGGAAGCTGAGTCAAAGAACACTGCGGCTTGTCTTCACATAGGTAACCTACATTTCTCATCATGCTAATACCTTGTAACGCCTATATACTGACAAAAGTATTTTTCTCATCTAGCGGATGCCTATACCAATGCAGCAGCCGGTGAGTGAGCCTCTAGATATCCGTCCGCGGAGACTCTGAAGATGTTTTTAGCCATATTGATACAGCAACGCTATAACCTTGCTGATCCGCCCAAGCCAAGGAAATCTGTTTTTCAACGGAATCTCGGCTCGCAAGCCGATGGTCATAATGATACCTTCGAACGCCTGCCACAATTACCTAATCCCAATACACCTGACAACCACATCGTGTCCAACGACTTCGGAATCGGTCCGGTTGCGTCATCCAGTCATCAGCTCATACCGGGGTCGAGTAGTCTGTCGAAGCGCGTGGTATGGCCACCCAAGTTTCCTTGCACAGCCGAGAATCGGTGAGTTGGACTACTGCTTCTATTCGTCACCTTGGCTTGTGACTAACAGCGTGTTGACAGTTGCGTAAGATCCATGGCAGCCACAATTGCCACAACCATCAGTGGACCTTTGATCTGCTTTCTTGTTGCTGGGCTGTGTGTGCTATCCTTCCTCCTGTAACGCTAGACCCGGTTGATGCGACCAATGGCTCTTTCACTTTGAGATTCTCGGTAAATAGCAGTGATTCGGCGCTCCTGAGCGTCTTGTGATAACGGAGAAGAGGCGAAATACCTACAGTACTTCCACAAGTCAATAGACACATTCAAGTAACGAGTGTGGTTGCTGCAAACGTTTCTTCATCAGGCCCGTCTCCGTATGCTGTACGTTATCACACCCATGCCCATCCATGCCAGGTCTTGCCCTAAGATCGTCACTTTTCTTTTCGCTACTGCCTTGATCCAGAATCAGAGACAGCAGGTCGCCGATTTTGAACAGACATCCTAATTCCTTACTCTACGTGCTTAGCTAAAGTACATGGCGTATCTTTACCGATGCAGCATTTCCCCAGCGGCAGCATTTGCTCACATGCCCATTGCATCAATCAAACACGAGTACTGGGATACATAATTTCTTGGCAAAATTGACAGCTTCTGATGCGCCCACCAGGCCAATGCGGGGCGGGCTCGCGGGCCTTCCCTGTCCTCTTCTTCATGGCGTTGCTAAACTGCACATACCACCTCAACCCATTCCTTGTATCATAAGATTATTCACTTAAGTCAGAACTCATAGTCATGCCAGATCTCTCTAATACCGTTCATGTCGTCAATGGATACGACAAAGATGCCTACACTTACTATCCTGTCATCATCGTGGGCGCTGGGGAATCGGGCATAGCAATGGCTTGTCGCTTGAAGGAGAAACTGGGCTTCGATCAGTTCCGCATATTTGACAGACAAGCTGGTATGGGAGGAACATGGTGGATCAACAGATATCCTGGAGTTGCTTGTGATGTGTTAGTCTCCCTCTACCGGACTCGATAATTGCTGAAGCCGGCACAGTCCTGCCGTATTCTACAGCTTCTCCTTCTCGCCGAACCACAAGTGGTCTGCCTATCATCCTCCGGGGGAAGAGATTATTCGGTACCTCCAGGATGTATGTGAGAAATACCAGATTGTCGACAAGATCCAACTGAATACAGACGTGTCCGAGGTGCGATGGCTCGAGGACGAGGAGCTGTGGGAAGCAACTCTTCTTCACATGATGCCTGGTACTGGTGATCTGTCTACCAAAGAGCGAAAAAAGATGATGACTGAGAAAGGACGCGAAAGCGTGTACCTTAAGGAAGAGAAGGTCAAAGCCAAGATCATATGCAGCGCTGCCGGCGGTCTCGTCGAGCCGAACGCATGGCCAGACAATGTCCCAGGCCGGGATCTTTTCCAAGGCGATGTATTCCACTCTGCTCGGTGGGACTATAACGTCGACCTTCGCGGTAAAGATGTCATCGTTGTGGGCACAGGCTGTAGTGCCGCGCGTACGTACATTTCGGAGCCGATTCTTCCTTTTTGGTAATGAAGTTGAGTCGCAAGACATGTTTCAGGAGCAAGAAGACCTTTCTAAAGCAGAGACCTGTCTTGCAACTCCATTTCCTAGCTCGAATAAACAGTGCTGACTCCGAAATCTGCGTAGAATTCGTGCCTCGATTGTCGAAAGAGCCATACAACGTAAAGTCTGTCCTTCAAATCATGAGGTCCCCCCCTTGGGTAATGCCTCGTCCCGGTCCCCTTTTGGGTCTTATCAAGCAGGAGACTTGGGAGAAGTGGACACCAAGACTCTTTCCTCGTATTCCTGGACTTGGTAGGGCCTATAGAACTTTTTTGTTCTGTCTTAGCGAACTCGACTTCTTTCTTATATTTACCGGTAAAAACGCCGCAGCAAAGACGCGCAAGAAGGTCGAAGCGCAGCTGGTTCAGCATATGAGGTCTATCGTACCCGAGCAGTACCATGAGATTTTAACCCCAAATTATGGCGTCGGCTGCAAGAGGAGAATATTCGACGCTTTCTGGCTTGAGAGTCTCAACGATCCCAAGATTGACCTCACGACCCAGCCCATCACCAGCCTGCAACCAAAGGGGGTCACGTTGGGACCGGGCCGCACCTACCCTGATCCAGAAGACAAGGCCAGCAAAGCACCAACAGACGAAAAGCACCTCCCAGCCGACGTCATAATCCTCGCCAACGGCTTCGAACTCACTACGTGGCTTTCACCACTCAAGGTAATCGGCAAAGGCGGTGCCGTCATGCAAGAGGTATGGGATGAGCGTGGGGGTCCACAGGCCTACATGGGAAACGCAATGGATGGCTTTCCCAATTTCTTCATCATTTTCGGGCCGAACACCGCAACAGGACACTCCTCTGTAATACTCGCAAGCGAAAACATGGTGGAGTACACGTTGAAATTCATCAAGAATATATTGAGGAAAGACGTCAAAACCTTCGACGTGAAGAAAGAAAAGGAAATAGCATGGACGACCGAGATGCAAGAGAAGTTGAAGGGCACCGTCTGGCATAGCGGTGGATGTCATAGCTGGTACAAGACAGCCAATGGCTGGAATGCTACTGCTTACCCGTAAGCACTATCCTTCTCAGGCTCCCCATTCGCGCCATCAAGCAATCTCGCAACTGCTAACATTCTCCAATAAAGATTTTCGCAGGTGGACTACAGTATCCGATGCATGTTTCCGAAATGGAGTGATTGGAACATCCAATACACGACCAAGGGACTCATCAAGCAGCGGCTAAAGCAAACACTTCGGGTCGTCACCCTTCTTGCGAGTATTGTGGGGCTATATCATATACGGAAAGATGTAAGAGGTGGATTGAGCGCATTTGATAGCTCGATGAAGCAGAGGGTCAAGTTTGGACTGTTGAGATTATTAATTTGGGTGGAGAAGGGTGTTCGTATGTTGCCTGAGCGGAGTACGATTTTGTGAGCTGGGAGGGGAGCATTTGGGGAAAGCTTTGGAGATGAGCATTTGGATGGTTTTCAAGGAGTACACAGCATCATGGTTGGATCATTGTGTGGTATGTAGGTATGTTTGATTGCCTCAATTACATTCCATCCGCCCATTGAGTGCTGTATCTGCTCAATTTGGTATCCATCGCAATGTCACACAAGGACACCTCCAACCGAAACCATCCCTCTCTAGTGTGAGCTTTTCCCGTACGGGCCTTGTCACTCACAGCTTCTCCAACCGAGGTACTCATCCAATTTCCTCATTTCAGATCCAACCGGAACACGGTCGTCTTGGGTCGGAACGGCTGTAATCTTGATGGACGCGAGAAGATACTCGACAGATTTAGTACATATGCACGGCAGTAAGCCTCGGTAGAGACTTGATGATAGGATGGCCCCTAAACAGATGTGCGGTCGGAAAGACAGCAGGCCAAACCGCGGGGACAGAGGGCAGGATGATGCCCGGTGGATTTTAGTACAAGCGTGGGGTAGGGATCCCCACAGGTGGTGCAGGGGAGATATCGAGCGGCACCGGGCAGTACCAATGCGGGACTGTCGAGACATCCGCGTCCGACGGCAGGGGAACATTTGTCGGCCAAGCGCTATCCACACAGGCACCTAGCCCGTGCTTCAGCGCCGGCGCAGCTCGGCCAGTCGTTCTTCATGCTCCTCTTCCTGCTTTTGAACGGCTGCTCTCCTCGCCAGGTCCGCATCCCGCTTCTTCTGGTTGATTTTTTCCTCCAATTCGTGCTCAAACTCCTGCCTCTGTCGGCGCTTTTTCTGGGCCAATTCCTCCTCGTGCTGCTTCTGCCTGACACGCTCTTCCTCTTCGAATGCCTTCATACGAGCTTCGATAGTCTCGAGACTGTCATCTGCCGAGTGCTCCTTCGGGTCGGGAAACCGGTGTAGGGTGGTCTTCGTTGCGGGTAGGAGCCTGTGAAGAGCGGTGGCCTATTTGGTTGGGAGCCTGTGAGGGGCGATTTTCGTTTTGAGTATGCGCCGGCGAATGGTGGTTGTCTTTCTGGCCAGAAGCCTGTGGTACGCCCTCTTTTTTCCCGCCGGAGGCTGGTGGAACATACGCTTCTCTCTGGCTAGAAGAGTGTGGTTGGTGCTCTTCTTGCCGGATGGAAGCCTGCGAAGGAGCGGCACCGACTCCATGCGGCCTATGTTGAGACGGGTTGGAAGGTGGCTCTCCAAGCATCTTAGGTTCGACTGATACAACTTCGCCAGGCTCTAGCGACGTTCGCAGGGATTGGAGAGGCGATACAAGAGGTGTCAAAGCCGAGCCTCGCTTTAGTCGTGGATCTCGTGGTGATATATTGGGTTGAGTCGATGGAGGAGTGAACGTTTTTCCGCGCGCTTGTGTCAAAATCGTGAGCTGTTCGGAGGTGCTTGTTGTACTGGTACGTCCCTTTAGACTTGAGCCTGGTATGGGGGTATCCCGAAGACGTTGCAACTCTCGGTCAGTTGTGGTTTCAGACACGCATTCCTCTACAGGCGCAGACTTCTGCGGCTGTGAGCCCTGACGGGGACCGGACCTAGGATCGAAGACGTTGCGAGAGGCCTGCCGAACCTCTGGTCTGTCTCTGCTGGGCAACACAATATTCACAGGCTTCTTTGGTAGAGAATCTTTCCCATGCGCATGCTCTAACGATTCTTTTCGTGCACGGTAAGAAGCTGGCTCAGTGAGCGGATGCGGATTGCAGGCGCGAGGCCGCGACTTTCCACTCTGGGTGAGCTCAAAGTTCTCACAGTGCTTTGCGGTGTGACGCTCCTCCCCACAGCGAGTGCAGGTCATGGGGCAGCGGGACCAATAATGGCTATATTCTGGAGTCAGCATGCCCCTTCCGAGATTCAGAGCCGACTCATAAGACAAGAAAACCAAATTCTCTACTGTTTCTCAGAACATGTCTAACGAGCTGCATTGAGGTCCAATAATGGGAAAGGACCACTCCAAAATGTACTGACTTGATTGAACGGCAGCCCCAGCATATCATTGGCTTATCACAGTCTGAGTATGCGTGATCTTCCATACACATATAGTTCTTGCACCAATACCTCGGAGGCGGTCTGTAATTGTCTGATGTTCTAATAGGCTCCTCCTCCTCCTCCTCCTCCTCTGTACCACGATGGCGCTTGATAGAGCGGTCAATAGCCTCATCATCGAGAGGGCGTTTCAGTTCGTATCCACCGAGGCGTAACACATTTGAGGGTGGGGGAGAAGAACCGTAGAACCCACGGCTTTGGGCCTCAGATGCGTTCCTCCTGTCAGGATCGACAGTCCGAGATGAGCGTCGCGACGGTGCTGTGTCAGGCATGCTCGTGTCTTTGCGTTCTTTCGTGGGCATTTGGATTAGCTGTTTCGGATCGTGGCCAGTGGATGGTGATTTTTCGTTGGGGACAGAAGCAGCAGCGGCACTGTGATCATCAGATTGGCCGCGTGAAAACTTCAGGGCCAACGACGCGTCAGCTCGTGGTGTCGTGTTGCTAGAATATTCGGCCCGGTGCCAGATCTTATTAGAATGATGTCGAACCGCCTTTGATTCCGTAGCAATGGTTGATGATCGGTCTTCTGAGGAAGTCTCACCTTCTGCAGCTGGCCGATAGCTATCGTAGTAACGAAGGTCCCAACCCATATCCTGGTCACGAACCATTGCTTTTGAAGGTGTTAGTGGGGAGACGCTTGCTGAAAGAGGGAAACGTACTGAGGACCGTGACAAAGGATGGTTGGGGTTGTGGACGTCAGTTGTTTTGAAAGGATTGATTGTGGCATCAGATCTGGATAGCAATAAAAGTCTCTTGCCCGACTTTCAGAAGCCAATTGGATCTGAGGCGAGTTCCTGATGGGCGATTTGACCGATCTTTGGTATATGTCTTAGGTCTAGAGGGTCAACAACACTGACACACTGACACTGGCGGGGCAGATCGACGAGCACGCTGCCTACCGGTTTCATTCTTGCCAAAACATATATCCAAAGGGCATGTCTTTGTCTTCAATTTTTCATATGCAGCATTTGTTATAACCCAATGGGGACGACAGGATTGCAGGCAAGCTGTGAGAAATTCGGGCAGCCAAGGGAGCTGGCACCTTTCAATCTTGGCATAGTGTGGGTATCAAGGCGAGCAGATACGCTCTGGCACTCAAAAAGTCTTCTCTTTAGCGGTGCAGTATTTGACTGAGGATACCGTCAGAACCATCAAATTTCCACGCAGCGCGTCTCACTGAGAACATTAAGAGACCGTTCTATCATACTGATCATCTATTATTTTCATGCAAGCAAGCAATTGTGCAAAATATGCAAGAGCCCGCTATTAAGTCCCATCAGAACGGAAGCACATATGCATTCACCCCTCTGATGCCGCTGTCTCTCATGCCAAGCTCACAGGTAGGCAGACACCAGCTATTTCTCACTTGCAACCCTTAATGACTTAGCAGGTCTCGAACCGACATTGCCCGTCCTCCTTTAGGATACCTACGGTCCTTGTTCAGCATCAACAATGCAGCTGTAGCCTCTTGGTCTTGCTCTCTGCTTGGCATGATAGTTGGAGACGTCGAGGCAGACAGAGAGAATTGAGATTGAGGACCTCGGTGGCCGTGTTGTGGTTCGAAAGCAGGTGACGGAAGCGTGGAAACTGAGGAGGCATAGGACGAGTGGTGGTGATTGGATTGTGCTTCTATCGCAGGGGATGCGCTAATTGACTGAGGACTCGTGTAGGCGTATGCTTTACTTGCAATCGCCATGATTGACGGAGAAATGCAATTGGATCCTGAATCACCCATGGTAACATCTTCATCATCTTGATCTTCGTCATCGTCCTCATCGTTCTCTTTAGGCGTGACAGCATCGAAACGAGGCGGAGGCGCTTGAGGCTGTGTAAGTGGAGTCGACAGAGAATTGTTGGCGGCTTTGAGGTCTGCGATGCATTTTTCTAGATAGCGAAGGTAGTCGATGCTTGCCTATTCACACTGTCAGCAGAAAGGGATAGCTCCTCACAACAACGGTCTTACGCACTTGCAAAATAGCGAGCTTGTGCATTTCTTGGTCCGTGCAAGCGGGTATCATAGCCTTCAAGGTCCCAAACTCTTCGTTCATCTTCGACCTCCGTCTCCTTTCGATCACACTGTGCGCTGTCTTCCTGGCAATCTTCTTGCCGGCAACACTGGTCGAGCTAGGCTGCTTCTTTCCTGCCGTCGCAGTGGCACTTGAGGATGTCGAGGTCTTCTTATTTGAACCTTTCAAACCTTGCTGCATAGGGGATCTTACTGAATCTTCTGAGCACTGCGGCTTTGGCTTCATTTGAATGATGGTGCGAGACCTGGTAGGAGGTGGAGGTAAAGAGAAGCACGGGCTCAGGGCCGACTGAGTCTGTTTCTGAGCAGTGGAAGTGCCATTGTTTCGTTGAGACTCGATAGCCGGAGGAGGTAGGTTGAAGGACTTTTCTGTTGCAGAAATTGGAGAGCCATCTTTGCCCTGGATTTCAGTTGAGGCAGCGGGCGTTGGGGGCAGACTTGTGCGAGGCATGATTGGTCGTCGGCTTTGCATCAACAGTCAAAGAGAGTAGATTGTCACGTGCGGAGGATACAGAGGATAGTCAATGAATTGGGATAGAGACCTCGCATTGAGGCAAATGAAGTGTGTAGATAGCGCAGAAGGGGAAGAAGAAGAAGAAGAGGATGCTGGTGTCAAATTAAGAGATGAGTGGTCGTATAATAATAAAAAGAAGAAGAAGAAGAAGTAGAAGAAGTAGAAGAAGAAGAGGTGTGCCCCTCTTCCTTGATAAAAGAGCAGAAACCCCCCCATGTTTAGAGTCGATCAAGAGTCGCGTGCCTTCTGAACGTGCACCATCTTCAATCCTGATTGGCTGGAGTCCCAAAGGCGGCAATGACACACATTTTTGGGACGATTGTTCACCTCTTACTTTCGCATGCTCCCCATCTCAGGCACCGAGGACGCTCGAATCGCTACTATTGACATAATCAGTTGCATTGCCATTGAGCAATGATTCTTTAGTGGGAAGGTATTAGTGTTTATGTGTATCAGTAGAGTAAGGTACGGTAGAGTATTATTGAGGTATCCTCGTTCATTCATCTGCGAGACATAATTTCTGCCAAGCCCCGCAGTCCCGTGTAATAGCCCTTTACCTTAAAGTACCTTACCTTACTTTACTTAATACTTTACTGTATTCAATTCACTTCCGCCAAATGAATGCCAAGACATTTTCGGCGTCAGCCACCACCGATCACCGCCCTACGCTAAGGTACTCCCGCACTGCTCTCACTTCCTCTCGTCTGAGTCGTCTCTTTGTTCTTCTTTCAATACCTACTCCGTCCATGAATAGCGTAAGCAGCCTATGAACCAGCTCAATACCTCGCAAACCTCTATCCTCACTCACCCACTCCTCACATCAAATCATGGGAAGAAGATATCTGCCATCGCCATGGACGTCGATGATGCCGGCCAGCGCATCGCGGATCGCATTCAAGACCAAGACATTATGGATACTACCCTAGACAATGTTCAGGAAGCTTCGTCGAATGTCGCCGATCCAGAAGCTCCAGAAAAGGGCCAAGCCGCAGCAGGAGCGGAAACCACGCCCGTTCCCGAGAACTCAACAGAGAAGGATGACGAGACCCAGCAGTCGTCAAAGCAAAAGCGTAAGACCCCACACTGACTCTGCCTGACCCTTCTCTTGTAGAGCATGGGTTGACACATGAGTCTCGTGGTAGCACCAATACCACAAACCCTGCCACTCACGCAAAATCTCATTTCGTTGTTCGGCCTTCAGCCGCTCGCAGCTACAGTCGCAAGATCCGACCCAGTCACAGGCGAGAAGATCAACAAGATGAGGAAGTCTTATGAAGGTCAACTCAAGACACTTGGACTAGCTGGCAGAAATCGATCGGTCAAGCACCAGGAAGGAAAACTGATGGGGCTGAGGGAGATGACGCTATGGCCGGAGGAGGAGTGGCAGAACCAGAAAGTCGGCGGCAAAGACATTCACAAGGGTCTTCCTAGTGGAATACTGGCCAAGCTGGACAAGGCTATGCAGATGCAGCCAGGGCCATTGCCAAACAACAATGAGTGGGAGAATCTTCTGGGGAATGACAACCCAAAACCGGTCGAGGCGACCAAAGCGTCGAAAATTCCCAATAAACCTTTGGCCAAAGCGAACGGCCAGGTTAACGGTAACACTGCGAACGCTGAAACCGTTCGACCACAGCGCACCAATAAAAAGCGATCATATGGCGACGCCAGCTTCGAAGGCTACACAGGTTACGCCGAAGGAATTGAGGACGATGACGCTGACACTGGAGGAGGCTACTCATCTGGCGATACTCAATTTAGCCGGAAGAGTGGCCGCGCCGCCAAGAAGCGGAAGAAGGTAAGATCCTCCGATGATCTCGATGCTATTTATATTCCCTGATCTATCTACTTACTCTTATCAAGGGCTATGGGAATAATCCTACAGGTTTTGGCGATCGAAGTGGCAGCTTTAGCTCCGGTATGGTTGGTGTAGGCGCCTACAATCGGTAGCACCGAAGGACTGGGACCTGCTACATCCCACCTCATCTACATCTTTGTGGAGAACCAGCGCAGCCAACGGGATGACGCTGGAAAGGTCTTGAAAGAATCCCACGGGAACACAATTCACCTCGCTTGTCCGATAACGCCCCTTCGGTCAAAGTATTCCACTTTTTCTCTCGATTCACAAGTCTCCACAATCACACACACCATACCACTACACCATGCAGTTACACCATACCGTTTGCACCAAATCATCACCTCATCTCGCCAAATCTACGCCTCGACATACTCCGTCACTCACCCTAACCACAGCATCTACCACCACAACCTATTCCCTATGTCTTTCATGTATTAACGACTGGGTATACCCGTAATCGGTGTTACTGGCTTCTTTGCAGGAAAGGCGTTTTTCTCTAAGCGATCAAAGACCAGGCGTTTTGAGGCTCTATATGCCTTTCGTAGCATCAATGGACATGCTACCTGAGGAACCAGCATGTGTGCATGCAATAGGCTAGGAAGAACGAGATACACTTACGATGGAAACCAATCGGGACAGATGACTTTGGTTGCTGTTCTCCTTTGTCAACGTGACTGCATATTGAACTTCCCTTCTTTCCCCCAGGTAGGTATTAGTCCTCTCACATACGGCTCTCTCGGGCCCTTTGCCTTCTGGACATGCCAGCAGTTACTGTCCTTGTTTCCGAGCCCCTGGAGCACATGCCTGAGCGCCGGCTACTCCCCGCAACCGTTTCCCACCAGGTGGCGTAGAACAACGCTACGGTGTTCGAGATATGACGCGGTCCGAGATACCTGGCTGAGCATTCGGACGGAAGCATTTACACATGGTAGACACGCTGCGAGAGCAACATTTGCAATCTCAATCATTGATACAGAGACCTAAGCGTAGCCTCTTCTTCTGCTCAAGTACCCTTCTTGAATGCCAACAAAAGTCCCTTGTAACCCCATACGCCAGAACACTCCTTTGCAATGTTCCAATCACTGCAAGTGTCAGATCGCCTCCACTCCACCCCCATTTACGGCCCCTGGATCTGTCACGCCAACCCCTCTCTTTCGACTCCTCGCCGCCTTCTTCCTCCTCCCACTCGGGACCTCCACTTGTGCTCCCCCGTTCTCTCCGCCTCCTCCAATCTGTACATCGTCCTCCGTACCACCATAAAGCTCATGCCATTTTCTCGACTCGTCTAGTTCATTCATGTCCGCTGGCCTCATTCTTAGCCACTTCATCCTTGGACCGGTCTTCGACCTTTCACTGACTCGGAAGCCGTAGATGCGCGGTTCGTGTATCCTTCCAGGACCTAAGCCAGGCGCGAGGTTAGACGTAGCGATTCCATTCAAATGGCTCGGCTGTACTGGTAAAGGTTCTGGTGTGATGGATGAGAGTGTTGTAGGATTTAAAGTGGCTGTGACAGGAGTAGAAGTCAACGAGGAAGAACGCGAGTGTTTTGTTGTTTCTGCTGCGGCAGAATTTGTGGCTGCTTGCGAAGTGGGTGAAGGAGGTGCATAGGCGGGATGTGTAGCGGCGAGGTTCAGTGGATCGCCTTTGGCGGAGACGTCAAACTCGGGGAAAGTCATAAAGAAGAGACAACCGAATGTGGTTCCGAAGAAGGCACCGTCGACAGATTGAAACCGGCTGTTTGGGGGCGTGTAGACGTCCAGGCAAGAGGGGCAGAAGAGCTTCACAGTTTCTTGGCCTGGTATGTCATTGCAGCCGACGGGAAGGACGCGGGCTTGATTGCAAAAGACGCGTGGGCAGGATCCAAAGTGCTGAAGCTCGTATTTGTCTGCCATCTGTTGTATGCCCGGCCTAGATGTTATGTAACGTTGGTGAATAAGACCATAGAGGAGCTCTGCGCTGCTTTCTATTTCGGTAATGTCGTTGGCAACTTTCATATGCCGGCGTTCAGCACCTCTCCTGTAAGGCACACTGTTACCGTTTTCATCTCGCATCTCAACGTCATTGTCCTCGTCCTCGTCATCATCTTCCTCGTCTTCTTCTTCCTCTTCTTCCTCCTCGTCTTCTTCTGGTTCCACGTCTAGTATCATTTCTAACGCTTCTTTGTACATGGGAACTTGATTTTGAAGGCCGGTGAGATTGAAGTCGTCTTCAATAAAATCTTCTGAAACTTCGGCAAAGTATTCGTGGCCGAGGAGGCCGCAGAAGGAAGAGATCCAAGATTCGGGGGTACCTGAGGAGGTAGACATGACGGAGGTTGTTGAGTGGGTGACAGAGAGCGTAGATCCAGATGCTACAGGCGAAGCAAGGCTCAAATCCGCAAGCTGAGGCGCCAACGACGAATCCCCGTTGGCAGACACCGTGGTGGTTGATCCTGTTTTTGGGGGAATGCTGTGGATTATCCCAAAAAAAATACGCCCTACTCCGGGGGCCAGATGATTTAAATGTAGGGGTCGTTCAATGGTGACAAGGTCTATGCCACGAAAATTAGAACGATAATCACAAGGCTTCCAAGTGCGGGATCGGTGGTGAAAGTATCAACGAAGTAGTGAATGTCCGAAATGTCCGAAGTGGGGACGGTAATGGTGGATGGAGTATGATAGAGATAGCTTTGGTGTCAAGATGCATCATAGGCGCATAGCAGGTCAGATCCTTTTGCAGACTCGCTGCTCTGGCTCTCGCGACTGCCTCGAGTGCTGCACCCAAGGTCACTTGAGGAATGGTGAAAGTGTGGCTAGTGGTATACGACACCCACTAAATCGGATCAGTCAAGCTGTGAAGATCACCAAAACATCCGATAGTCGGTGGATGGTGTTTTTTGCGCATTCATAGGTGATCTCCGTGGCTCATTACAGCTGACCAGTGACCAGCAAATTGATATCAAATTAGTGGGGTTTCAATGGGCTGTGCACTGCGGCTAAGGCGCCTATCTCTAACCTTGCCAAGCCTCTTTCCCACTGGGGCTTACCGTAAGTAAAGTAAAGTTGTACTACCGAGATTACTAAAGTACAGTACTTACCTT